TGGGTTCGAATCCCCTTGCTTTTGGTCTGACCATGGGAGGTTTTTGTGATTTTTATCTTCATGTAACACAAATGAGGACTAGTTCGATAGAAATATCCTCCAAGAAGACTTGTTTATCCCAATGCACAAAATTTGCAGTAAGGCTAGAGGGTTTAACATTGATAGTCGTAAACTCAGAATCGGCTTGGCTGTTTAACAGCGGTTATAAAATAAAATAGTTTGTAGTTATTTGTCAAGTATTTATTAAATCTCATCCCAGGTGATTTAAGAAAAATTTATGTTGAGAAACCATGATTATCTTCTAAAATTCACAGTACTGTTCGGACGGTAACGATTTACCGGAAATTCTTGTTTTTAAATTTATAGTTACACTTTTAGTAAAGTATACAAAGCATGAAAATAAATTAAACCGAATAAATAAATTTTATGCCAGGCTCTAAGATTTCATGATAACTTCCCCAAATTTTATCGCATTTAATAAATTTAATCACGCATTGCAAAACCATGTTTCATTGTTAACTTTTATCAAAATCATTACCGAAGTAAAAATTTTAGTAATTTTAGTGTTCGTAGGAACACTGTAAATTTCGTCACATTCTTGTAATAAGGTACAAAATATTAATTACATATCCTTTTTGTACAATCTGTGTTTGATTTAGCTACGATGACATCACTTACAGGTATCCAATTGAGAAGAATATTGAATTCTATAATACAATAATTAGTTGTTTATATCTTGGTTTTTTTACTCATAAATTTTTGGGATGAATACCTTTTAGTTCGATTATGTTTTAGTTGGAAAAAAAAGTTGCACTCATATATCAAACAATGCAATTCAAAGCATGTATTTTTAATTCTGATTATTAATATTTAATTTAGAGAAATATTAATGTATATATATGACTGAATACCTCATAAATATATCAGAGCCATATTTTATATTCATGGAATGTAATGCAACCCGTGCACTTTTTTTCATATTCCATATCATATATTTATGAATTTTTGTCGTTGTCATGTGTTTGTTAAATATGCATGATTGTAAAAGTTCAATGTGATTTTTTTAATCTATAGAACAAGGCTATGTTCAGTTTTCTTTGAGTTTATTTTTATTTTGTCTTAGTTATTATTGATATCAATATGTTCATTTTTCCTAAATATTTATCGTTAACTATATAGCCTTTGGACACGAATCATTTTTGATTTAACTAAATATTCTTATTAAATAGTATGTGCCTTGGGATACTATTGTTCTTAAACAAAAATCTCAAATCTCTGAATTTGCTTATGAAAAAGAAAACAGTTCAATTTTAGTAAAGTATAGCTTTGCGACGAGTAAAATGTTTGTGTGCATAATTCATTCACAAGCAGCACTATAAGACATTTTTAAACTATGCTTATAAAAGTAAACTATGCAGTATTAATCCATAAAGAATCGTAAAAACAAAATGATACCCTCCTGAAAGTCTGCTGTGATTTAAAATCTGAAACTTAGTTAAAAATTTCGATTGTTATTTTGAGTTTTAAAAACTAATTCACGAACGTTTTTAATTGCAATATATCATTGGTCTATGATCATGAAGTTGTTACAGAAGGAAAACGTGATTCTTTTAAAAATTATTTCTGAAGAAGAAATACCTTTCTTCGTCTCAAAAAATTATTCAAATTAACATTATTCAAATTTTTTTCTTCCTTCCCTAGGACTCTTACTGCAACAAGTTTTTGATTATATAAACGCTTATCTGAAACGCTTTGGCTAGAAAATAGCTGCTGAACTGAAGACCCTCAGCACAAAAAATTTATTATATGATACTGATTCAACCTGCACTTGAGATAAACGTTCAACATTCAATGTTTGGTACATTCTTTCCCGAATTTCAAAGCATACTAAGCAGAAAAATTTGAACCATGATATACTAAAGTGTATTATGGTTTTTTTATCTTGTAGCCTTCGCAAATACTGTATTTGTGTTCTTTAGAAATGATTTTCAAATTTTATATTAATTTATTGTACAGAATTTTGTAAAATTTTCTAACTATTCATGTTTTGAGTTTCCTCTTGTTTGTGGATGTTTCTTTACGGCTGCCTAGCCGTAATTCTTCTTTTTGAAATTGTATCTGTTTTCATGGGCTTTGAACAAATTCTGGTACTTTTCATCATCACAATATGTTTGTTACCTTTTTTCAATGTTTTTTCTTTACTGATGCCTTGCCTATTACGCTTGAGCACTCAAACTCCTAAATTCTATTTTCTGAGTAACTACTTTTGTTAATTTTAAGACTTCACTAAATTCTTTGAGGCCTTCTGGTTGGTGGCACGGAATCTTCGGATCTTGGTCAGGTCGCTGCTCTGCGTGCGTGGCGCCCAACCTGCATCAACCAGGGTTTTCCCTGGAGTTGCTTCTGCCTCCCTTGCCTATTTTTACGATGTGTTGCCATGGATAGCCACCAAGCCTACCTTTTTGAATCCTCTTTTTCTTTGGCTGAAGGGGATGCCCTCTGATGGGATCGGGAAGGGATTAAGGTTTGATACACTAAAGTGATACTCAACTTGCCCACGCTTTAATATTTTTCTGACTCAATGTCGAACTAACAACCTCCTACTCTTAACTGAAGATGGGACCATTGCTTTAAAGACTGAACAACTTGGTAGACTGATAAAGGGAGTTTTAGGAACAACAAAGTTTCAACAAATAGGTAGTTAGGGAGGTAGTTTATTTAAGTTGCACTAGAGCTGGACAATGGGCTATTGGTGAAAGCATCCCTGAAGATGATCCAAAAAGTGTTCATCCCAATTTTAATCATTTAAACAAGAGATGCCTCTCCCGCTTTGGCAGCTCGATGACCTTCGCGTGAAGTCGAGCACTTTACTGAAGAACAGTTACGATAACGCGCATCTTCGGTCCCTACGCAGACTAATCAAAGTGGTCACTGACGAAGCCTTTGATGCTTGACTTCAGAGTTCTACTGGGAACCGTTTCTTTACAATCAGTCCTTGCGGGACCAGGGACTTCAGAAAAATAACTTTAGACTTGTTTTAATACAGCTTACGATATCAGTCGAACGAGCACTCTGAAATTTAGATTATCTGTGCTCCATAAGTTTTAGACTCTTCAAATCTACCCCTGTGACTCTGATCTTCATGTTTCTCGGCTAGAGGTTATAGTTCTTTCAAATAATTTGAAGCGTGGAACAAACGCTGATTTAATTCTCCTCGTAACCTTATATGTATATTTCATTTTTCTTGTAAAACCTCTATATCAATTTGGCAAATAATTCAAAGCCTTTATTTACATTTTATATTCCTACGAATTTAAACATTTAATGCTACGAATTAAAACATTAGAAAATGGATCTCCCGGACCAAATTGTCTTGAGATTCCGCAAACGCTTTGTGGTAAAAAGGTAGCGTGTTTGAGTCCCGCCCCAATCTTGAATGTATCATTGCGATGTTCTTCAATAAGTAGTGGTAAAGTAAAAACGTAAGTGTACTGCTGCATCTTCACAAAGGCTTAAAAATGCTGCAACTTGACAAAGGCTTATAAGCCGAACTTTGGAATAGATACCTAAGTCTGCACATATATGAGTAGCAATTAAAAATCAATAAATGCGCAAAAAAATGTTTCGAAAATCTCATCAAATTGCAGCACGGATAGCACTATTTAATAATACGAGCCACAAAATTGAAGGATAAATTGCTAAGGCTTCGGGCAGGAAGAGAAAATGTCAAAAATTCATTGTTGCAAAGATTCATTCATTTATTTATTGCTGTCTATACATATCTAGGTGTAATTGCTTATTACAAAATACGATTTTTAAAACCATTGAAAAATTGCTGTGTAGATAGCTTAAGTTGAAAAAGGACATCTCAAAAATACATATAGGATTCGAATCCGCAAACTCCATACTTCAGAATCCTATCGAACGACGATTAAACATTGCGACAACGAGAGAACCACAATTAAGCGTTGATTTGAAATAGGATTATTGCAACAGCAAAAATATATATATCTATACATCCATGATTACGCCTGTAAACAAATTCTATACTTCCGTGCTTAATAGCGTAAGGGTCTCTTATCAGCTAAGACGATCATTCTTTATAGACAGTATATATTATATTTTCTTGTATAACCGTATGACCGACGTTGAACAGCGAACTCAATTCTGAGTTTTCGACTATCAATGTTCAACTTCATAATCTTGTTATTTTGAGGGCAATCCAGAAGACAATGAAACTTCCTGGATCAATCATTGGGACAAACTAACATGCTATGAGGACATTTTAATGGAACAAATCGTCACTTGCGTTACATGGAAAGAATTACTTGTCAAATAAGAAATCACGAAAACCTCCGACCGTTAAATCGACGGAAAAGAGATTCTAATTCAATATCCATCTACCACTGATAATACTTTACGTCAACATCGTGGTCGGTGCAAACCGGGTGTGGAATTCGTATCAACTAGCTATCGGTGGGATTCGAACCTGGAACACCTCATTGGGAGGCGAACTTTCTTTCAATCGATCTATCACGGCACTAGATCACTACTTTACGAAGTGGGGAAAAATTTCGCTGTTGTTGTTGATGTAGTTCATTTACGTCGAACTAGAGCTGCACAATAGGCTATTGGCAATGGTCTGGGAAACATCCCTCAGGATGATCCGAAGACATGCCATCACAATTTTGATCCTCTGCAGAGGGGATGGCACCCCTGCTTCGGTAGCCCGACGACCTGCACGCGAAGTCGAGCACTTTACGGTAGAACAGATTAACGAGGACCAATACCGCACACCCTCGGTCCCTACGCAGACTGATCCAAGTGGTCACCCACCCGCACACTGACCGCAGCCAGTGATGCTTGACTTCGGTGATCTGCTGGGAACCGTGT